GGCACAACCTCCACAAGAACACACATGTGTCAGTAGACCTTCAAGAAATAAGGTTGTCATGCAGCCGTTCTTCAATGCAAGGTCCACTGACATGACACATGACGAGGATACTTGACAATGTCAGGTCTCCTCGCTCTTGGCTGGTCACACTGTGGCATTGCTTCTGACAGTTCAGTGCTTCGATCAGTGGGGATGCACTTTGCCCCCACTTCGCTGAAGACCAGGTCCGCACAGTTTCTGACACTATATATATATATACCAGTGCTTCGATCAGTCGATCAACAGCCAATCGGCAGTCGCAGCTTTTGTCACGACAGCTGATAGGAGTCTCTCCTGGCTGTTGATCGACTGCGACGACACTGCTACGCTGGACCCCACTTCGTTGAAGACACCTCGGTCGCTGCTTTTACACCGACTGCATGCAGTTGTGACCATGATGACCAGCTGAGATGGGCTGCCAAAGTGAATATAAATGTGTTATATTTATGCATTCAAAGCAGGATGGGCTGCCATTCCGGACGCAAGCACCATGGTGGAAGTTTGTCCGAAGATTATCAACTCTATACCTGCTGCAGCCTGTAGATTCCAAATCGTAAAATGACGCCACAGCTCGAGGGACCATTTGATTGGTGCGCACTTCGGTCGACCCTTCAAAACACGTCACCGTCTCACCAAGCTTCATTTTGTTCTGGATAATGGCCTTGGTTTTTTGCAGCAACTGCCACTCATCTTCTTTCTTTGCGATGGATTCCAGGATGAGCTGCCAGGAGTATAACTCCTTTCGGCAGACAGGTCGAGGATTGAAACAAAAAGAACAGATAAACGTTCAGGGAAGATCAGTGCAGAACAGCTATGATGACGCTGATGATGGCGATAGCGTTGATGAATATAGAGTTATAATGATAGGTGAGATGTTTCTACGCTTGGCATGTCCCCACACAGTGGCAGGAACGACTATATATTTAATATACGTATATGTTTCAACTATGCTTGCCTAAGGCAAAGAAGGCCATGAGCAGCAAAGGGTGCTTGAGCCGAGCAGCAACGGCAATCGCTATGGTGGACCAGTTCACTTCGTTGGCAGCCGGCGCAGATCCTTTAACACTCCAGCACGCAGTGGGCCACCTGGAGGCCACCTGGAGGTGCATCTCGCGCCTGTCATTTTGGACAAGAAGAGCAGGGCTCATGTGAAGATGGAGGATGCGTGCCGTGAGGTGTTGGTGGAGTTGGGGCTGGGGATCACCATCCCAAGCGAATGGGTCGCGAAGGTTGACACAACCGCGACCCCCAGCACCGCAGCGAAGAAAGCTGATGTCTTTAGAACCTATGATGACTCAGAGCGCATGACCAACGCCGTAGAAGTGATCAAGGGGCTTGGTTTTGCCGTCGGTCAGAAGGTAGAAAGGTATGACCAAGTGGGCATCATTCACAGCATCAGTGAAGGTGAAGTTGAGCTGCGGATGGAAGAGCCCACCAAGGGGAACGTCTGGGTGAACTCGTCATCGTTCGCGCAGAATGAGTGGAAGATCGCACATGTCCCCAAGCCACAAGAGGAGGTCCATTGGCTGCCAGATTCGCCGTGCAATGGCGGAGCAAATGGAAAAGCACAAGAACTTTGAGACTCTCCAATTGTGGGCTCATCCCAAGGCTGTCACGGTCACCAGCACCTTCGGCCAGAAGAAGCTTGTGATCCCATGCGTCACCTCCCGCGTACAGTTCATAGAAGCCACGAAGGTGACGAATGACAATTTGGTGATCGGCATTTTTGACCATATGGCGGTGGTGCTCACAGGAGTGAACAAAGTAGGCAAGCTTCCTGGTGAGGGATTCCAATGTCCCTTTTGGTTCATTCCCCGCACTTCCGAATCAGATGATGAACATGGAGGCGAGCAGGTTTGAAGTCGTGAACCTTTGATTTGGAAATTACGCATATGTGGCATTGGTATACATTGTATAGGTTATAGTTATAAACAAACCACAATCAAACGATACCACTATCACTAGAGTGATTTTTCGATCTTGTTCAATTCATTCCCATATACTCTTGAGCCAAGAAATGTGATGGAACCACGAGGTATGTATATATACCGCGTGAACCTATAGTCCATGCAATTACAAACCCAACAGGTCTGGCCGAGCGTCGATGACATGAAGAAGCGGACGTTGGCTTTGGACAAGCCAATCAGTTTGCCACAGCTCCGCAACATGACGTCATTGAAGAATGGCGATGAGCTCTTTGTCTACGCGGCCAAAAAGAACCTGACTGTAGATGCGGAACCACTTAGAGATCGACCCGCGAAAAGAATTCGTCACTGAGGGGGGGGCCGCACAGGGGACGCATCATACAGCTCAGACATCTTGTTGTTCTGTTTCATTCCTCGACGCTGCTGGCAGGAGTTTGCTCCCAACAAGAGCTCGAAGAGGTCCAGGTCCTAACCCCTTCCTTGAAAAGACCCCTGGCCTATCGATTTTCGTTCATCGAAGTATTCGCTGGATCGGCTAGGGTCACTGCGGCGGTCGCTGCACGTGGTTGGTCGGTGGGGCCCCCTATAGACCTTTCATTTAGTCCGGAGTATGATGTGAGTAAGCGCTACATTATGTCTTGGCTGTCTTACCTCATTCGGAGCACCTCATTGAAAGCTTTGCTGTGGAACCACCCTGCACAACTTTCTCGATCATGCGCCGTCCGGCGCTCAGGTCAAAGGAACTCCAACCCAAGCACGAGCAAACCGCCGCCGGCAACTCGCTCGCGCTAAGGGGGTTGCAGTGCATGGAGTTGGGAAGGAGGTACGAGGTGCCGGGTTGGCTGGAGACCCCCTTCTCCTCTAAGTTGGAGTGTCTCCCTCCCTACGATACACTTGGAAAGAAGCCGGAAGTAGATTTCTGTAGGACTGATTCCTGCATGTTCGGTTCACCGCATTTGAAGAGTTTTGCATTCCTCAGTGTTTTGGCCCATTAGTGAAGATCAGGAAAAGATGCTGTTGCCAGACCAAGCATCTTGTAGTCCAGGGACAATACACCTGTACACCGAGCTTCTAGCTGAAGCCCTTGGAGAAGTGCTCATTGACGCCATGTTGGAACAGAGGAACAAGAAGATGTTCAATGATGAAATTGTGACGAGTGGCCTTGAGAACACCTTAGTTAATGCCACGGCGCTCGAATCCAGATGGGAGGTTGAGAGGGTCTGGACCTTCAGGAAACTGAAGCTAGCAGAGCATTTGGCCGCCCGCAGAAAGCCCCTGCGAGTCGTGAACTTAGTAGACTCGAATGTGGTCAGATGTGCCCTTTCCAAAGGTCGGTCATCCTCGCGAGGCCTGACCCCAGTGATTTCGAAGATCGGCTCAGTGTCGGTTGCCATGGGACTTTATTTCTGTTTGACCCAACTAGGGACGTCTCAGTACGATCCCCGCTCAGCTCTGGTTTCTGCAGCGCACTCAGTCTTGAACAGATGTATCAAGTTTCAGGTTGCAGGGGCCTTAGACGGTGGGCAGCAAACTGGGTCAGGATGATCAGCCTCATCCTGGGTGCAAGAGTGTTTTCCAAAGACGGTTTTTTGCTCGATCGACTTCGACCGAACTTTGGGGCACCCGGGAGAGGGGCCCTGTTTTCGAACCATCGCCCTCTTCCTCTTGCTTTGGCTTTCCTCCTCTCTCTCCCTTGAGCTGGACAGGCCTGCTCATTCGTGGATTTTTGCCGCCATTTTTTTGGTTAAAGCCATGGCTGCCCCACTCGAGCCTTGAAACCCGGGAGACCTGGCTAGGGCTGGTGTCAGAGCGGATAGAGGACCACTCCCAGCAGGAAGACCAGTCTTGGGAACTACTGCAAAGCAGAGAGAAGTCTTGTTGAGCGGTTTTGCAACATGGCTGCAAACCAAAGGCCTGGTGATGGATGATTTGTTTCAGACACTTACCATCATGTAGAGGAGATCAACACACTCCTCTCCATGTACGGAAGGGACCTCTACAAGTCAGGGAGGCCACTGGCGCACTACAGTGAGACAATAAATTTTAAATGCCATAGGAAGCTGGAAGCCACAACTCCGTAGAGTTCTCCAGGGCGCCTGGGATGTCGCCTACACCTGGGTGAAGACTGAGCCGGCAACACACCATACAGCGATGCCGCCTCAGGTACTCCTCGCTGTCTTGACTTGCAGCCTAACCTGGGGCTGGGTTAGAGCAGCTGGATGCTTTGGGCTGGCTTGGGGGGGCCTCCTGCGAGCAGGGGAACTCTTCCAGGCCTGCAGACGTGACTTACAACTTCCTTCAGACCTTCAAGGGTCGGTACCTTTCCTACTGCTGGCGATCAACGAGCCAAAGACTCGCTTTACTACGGCCAGACACCAATCTGCCAGAGTGGACTATCCCGACCTGATCCAGGTCTGGGAGTTGGCTTTTGAATCTTTGAAGCCTTCAGAGAAACTCTGGAATATGAGCCCGCAGGCGCTTCGGAACAGATTTAAGTCGATCTGCAAAGCTCTGAAGATTCCAGCAGGCTATACACATGGCATGCGGCCTTTGGATTTAGCTTCCTTTAGGCCAGGTGGGGCCACACACTTGCTGCAGTTAACAGAGTCAGGAGACCTCGTACAACGTCGAGGACGATGGGCATCCTACCGGATTATGTCCATCTATATTCAGGAGGTCGCGTCGGTTTCTTTCCTGATGCGCCTAACCACTGAACGACGTGAGGCAATACTTGCAGTTGCAGCTTGTTTTGGCTTTACCATGAAGTTGGCACTTAGTTTCCAGAACGCTTGCATACCACACGACGTGTGGTACCTTCTTTACTCCTCCCACCGGAAAGAAGCTTGAAGTTGATGGGAAGGCACGGGAGATCGAAATTTCTGCCTAAGTCCTCAAAAACAGGCTTGGCAGTGTACTCGTGCATACGCAGGTGGAGAAATGGGGCATAAGCGCTTCTTGAACTGATAGATATGCTGTTCCTTTGTCGCCGCCGTTATGTAGTTGAGAAAGTGTTAATGTCAAGCTTTGAGATGGCAGGTGTCAGAAAGCGCGCTGCTTTCTGGGCATGCTCACCCAAACTCAGTCACAGTGGTGATGTCACAGGCGTGGAAGATGGGAGGGACGCAGATGAGATGTAGGCTATGGGGAGGTTAATGCTTGGCATGTGCTTCCTGCGAGCACTCCATGAGTCTCAAGAGTGTTGTCAGAGAATATTTGAGCCGCAAAGCCACTGCTTACAGAGGAGACTAGAACATCCTGGTTGGCGTCACCCAAGTTGAGGCAACTGCCTCCAATTGTTGATGTGCGTTGTGCAGCCTGCGAAGGTTCCATAGATCGCATAGAAGGGTTTTTTCTGGGTGTGCTCGCGAAAGAATCTACACAGTAGGTAACATGAGGTAATATGATGTATATATAATATGTATGATTTACCATGTGCCCATTTTCACGGCACAACATGTGTCCATTTGCAGGCGGGTTGGCTGGAGCCCGATGACCCATACACAGCCCGAGTGTTGCCAAGCACGCTCACGTGGATGGTGCTCCGGCGCTTTGATCAACGAGGGATGGTGCTTGGTTTTATCAGCCAGACGGGTGAAGCACATAGCTTGGAGACTGGAAAGAAGTGATGCGGCAGGGCTCGCGAGGGCGGGGGGTCGCAGAATGCTGCGCACACACACACACGCCAGAAGAAGCAAGTGCCATTTGGAGGTGCATTGTTTATGAAGAAAGTGCGTGTGTAAGGGGAAGGTGGATGGGAACTTCATATTATTGTAGCAGAGTTTTGCCCAAAGCTTTGCTGGGGGGCTTTGCTTTTGATGACGTTGCGTACCTTCAGCAAATGAATGGGTGGTGATGAAGATCCAAAACAGCTCATGATACCGTGCTAGTTTCTTTGCATGTTTACTTTGTTTGCTGCTGTACTGTATGCTCCTTGCCACGCGCAGCAGCAGGAAGCAGCAGAGAAGGAAGAGGGAGCTGAGGGAGAGAAGGAGGCCGCATAGATTGAAGCAAATCAAATCATTGATTTGTTGACTTGAACAATGAGAACATGCAGAAGCAATCTTCCATCCCCTGCTAGAAACCATAGTCCTCCAGTACTTAATCTACAGACTTGCTTCGCATCGTTGGTTCGGTTCACTTCACCCTCGTGGCACCTTCCCATACCAGCAGTTCGGTCAAGATGCATCATCTATCACTCAAGGCCCAACATGGGATAACATGGGAGCCACGTTGTGAGTGATTCCAGGAGGAAGAAGGAGAAGGTGAAGAGGAAGAGGAAGAAGAAGAAGAATGTGTGGAACTGAGGCTTGATTACTAAACTAAGTGCTGTGGTTCATGGAGGTTTCCTGTGTACCCGGGTCCAGTGGCCCCATTCAAAAGACACCAGCCGACAGTCCTCGGTAGCCTATCACCCGTTTGCAAAGTGAGTGTTTTGTTTCTGTCAAGATCTTTCAAGCTTGGTTTGGCTTGTTTTACAGGCTGTAGGCCGCCACACCTCTATATATTCAGAAGATTGCACAAACATCAAGAAACAATCGATCATGAATCATGATCGGCTGAATGCAAGCCATTCTCCCATCTTCAATCACTGCTTATGCCGAAATGGCCTGCATTCTCAGCACCCAGGCCCTGTGACAGCTCGATGTCGATTTGCTGACCCAGAGGCCAATGCTTTTGGGGGACTGATGCTGCAAACACTCTTTTGGTGTTCGTTTTTCGGCTCAGGGGGCGTCTGGAGCACTGGCGGCCCTTCAAGGTGCCGAGGCGCCATGTGGAAGACGTGGACGGTGGACAGTGGGGTGTCCAAAAAAGTCTGCGAAAATGGCAGGTTCAAGGAGCTACTGTGGAGATCGTGCTCCTGGAAGGTGAGGAAGAAGAAGCATATTGGGAAGAAACCAACAGGAGAGGTCACCAATGCCGAACCAGTTTGGAAGCGTACTGTAAAAGTGTGTTGATGCGAGGACCAGGTGCGGTGTGCCTTCATCGACCCAAAAAGTGTTTTTAAAGTCAATTCATGACCTGTAGACCGTAGACCATTTTCGCACGTTTGGTTCATGGCTGCCTCGACGAAGCACTCACATCGCCATGTCCCTGTCAGGAAGCTTAAGGAATTTTTTGAGAACCCCAAGGGCAAAGGAAAAAAGGGAAAGGATAAGGGCAAAGGAAAGGGCAAGGACGGGCTTGCTTTTTGTGATTCTGGAGGCCTCAGGAGGAGCTGAAGACACACAGTCAGACTCAGTAAGGACCACAACAGCTGTAAGCACATGTCATGTTGAGTCTAGTCTATGTCAGTTCCGGCATTTTGTAGTTTTCATGTTCAGTTTGGATATTCGGATATGCCTTGGCTCTCATTGCTGATTCTCAGTGTCTCGTGCCCACCAAGTCGCAGGGGAAGAAGGGCAAGCACAAGAGTGAGGATTGTGGCCCAGCGTGCGACAGAGCGTTTAAGGGAGTGTATTTTTCTATCACCCCCAAGAAAGAATCGGACTGGGTAGTGAAGAGATTGTTTTGGCTGAAGTTTTTTACATACTTGGCCGGAAGTGGTCCATGTTCGCTAGCTATGGTCAGTATAGCTTGGAAACTGTTCTTTCAATGGGGTCAAAACCTGCTTGCAAGTCAACGACGCTCCGATTTTCTTGAATTTGCAGTGGTCGGTTGGCGAACTTGAGCTCAAAAGGGGACACCGAAGTGAATCATGATCAGCTCTGACACCAGACTACCCATCAAGCATCAAGCACGGCCAAGTCAGCTAAGGAGAGCTTGCCGAGGTCGCTGTGAGTTGCACAGATGTCTCATCTCGACCATGTACAGTTGTATGCGTTTGGACGCTTACATGGCGGCGTATGAGATGCCAATATGACTCGTTCCGTTCAAAAAAGCGATTGCCTCGCCGGCTCATTTGCTGAGATCAAATCTGCATTTTCTGCTGCCAAGGCATGCGAAAAAGAAATAGTACTATATTCTGCAACTGCGAAGTTAAAGACAGGTGAAAAGAAAAGACATCTCCCGAGGAAAGTGCCCGCACCTTGTGAAAGAAAAGACATCACCAAATCAGGAACATGAGTGAAACTATGGCACGGATAGCAAGGAAATATCAAATATTAACAACGTCCGCTTGCAATGGCGGTGGGTAGTCTACAACACTGTTGACTCACAGAGTGAATGAAGGGAGTGTTGTGGGTCTTACTCCAACACACCTGCTGCGAGACGACCGTCGGACGACCAGGTCTGCGAAACAACGGACGATACGGTGAAGCACCATCTGTACAAAATGTAACCTGTCTCGTTGGGTCAGCGACTTGGCCCTCAAGATGTGCCCTGTAAGTTTGATTCTCTTGTCGTGCAAACATTTCGCAAACGACCAAGTGAGCTTCATCAAGTCGATAGATAGATATACCTAAAACTTTAAACCATCTAGAACCATGCTGCTGCCATCCTTTGAATCTTGTCATATTTTCTGTGTTTTCTACACTCCTGTCCTTCAGCCTCCAGCTGCACGTCGCGGAGAAACCTCCCCGGTGCCAGGCCCACGTTCACAGCGGCCATTTCGGCTCTCCAAGCCGATGGACGATGGAGGACCCGTGGGGACTGGCGAGGACGGGCTGGAGAATCGCCAGTTGACCCGCGTTGTTTGTGACGCTTACGAACCATATGAAAAACATTGAAAATCTTTGGAACTGCATTGGGCCGTTTTTGGGGGGCATGTTTGAGCATTGCAGGGCGTTGCATAGCAAGAGAACAACTTCGTCCGATGGTTTTGTCCGCAGTTGCCTTGGTGGGTGCGAGATTGTTCTGGGACACCTGAAATGTCCAGAAAAAGAATATCCTCCAACATCCTAAACGATTCAATTTGTGGGACGTTTCTCGGGAAATCTACAGCGGTCCCCAAGCGGATAGTAATTTCCAGTCCACGTTTAGAGGGGTGGACTTACCATTTTGTGGTCACTATGAGTTGTTCAGAAGCTCCTTTGGTCGGAAAAGACCGATTGCGGTGATTGCCAGGCTTTCAGTCGGTGTCATCGAAGAGATGCAGGCGCGATCCGCGGCCCGAATGTTGCTGCTTGCCATTTGAACAGCTCACCGTGCGATCGCGGACGAGGATCGGCCCATCTCGGCCCTTTGGACAGAAACCGAAATCACAGCAATTTTGTTGGTCACGACTCATTTATATATTAGGTTGAGCAAGTTTTTGCAGCAGCCTCACACAAAAACTGATTTCAATATATGTCGACCAGCTTGTCTTGAAGGAGTCTCGGCTAGATCCAGTGCCTCGTATGATTTAGGCGACAGGTTGGCTTTCTGATGCAATCGTGGTGGGTGTGCACCGAAGAAAGATTGAGTCGAGAAGATGACCGATTTGTTGCAGTAGACCCAACGGTTTTCACAGGGTGACAGGCAGATGAATGGGGTATGATTTACATATATATGTTCAAACTAGACCAGCTAGGTCTCTACAAGGGCCACCCCGACCCCAAACCATGCGGCCGCCTCCTTTTCCGGCCAACCTGAGCCTCGTGAGGGTGCCTGCGTACGTCCAACCTGTACTGCCGATCCGAATGGTGACACTGCTTTCAAACTCCCATAATCTTCTATACAAAAGTACAAGGCATCTATAGATCTTCCGGATCCTGTGCTGCAGTGCTCTCTTGCCCCAACCAAACGTCATAACTCCGTAGAGGAATGAGAGGAAACTATTTCTTCCTCTCCCGCGTCTCTGAGGAGCCCGGGTAGCAGCTTGACTCGGCCTTCTCATCAAAGCCTGCCGCCTTCAGGAACTTCGCCAAGTCCTCAAAGCGCCCTCCGCGGTTCTGGCCGTGAGCGGCAACCCAACGGAGGTATGACACATGCTTTGAGCTCTGCATTAGCTCATTGTAGGACAGCTTCTCCGATGCTACCTTGGGCAAAGCACAAATTGTGCTTCCCCAATCTTGTAGGTCTGTGACTCCTGGTGGTAGGCTCACAGTCGCACTTGCCTTCTGGGTTCCCGGAGCTACCGGCATCTGGTCCATCACCTTCTTTGGCATCACTCGCTCACACATGACTGTCTTGCCACCTTCTTCATTGTAGGTGACTGGTTCCCAGTCGTCTGCCTCTGCTTGAGCATGGTCACGATGCCTCTTCACGGAATCATTCATTGAGCCGCTTGCCTTGGTGTTCACACCAAAGGCGTTGGCTCGGGCCATGACTTCTCTGGCAGCGGCGAGCTCGTCAGGACTCACCGGCTCTGCACGGTTGGATGCCATGTTCCAACACGACTCAAAGCGACTGCTCGACACGGATTCTCTGCTGAAAAACTGAAAAAGGGGCTCACCGGAAATGAAATGCAAACGGAATCAAGCATTGAACGGTGCAACAACACTTGCCTGATTACCCCGTGAATCTGCAAATGATCTTATGTTGCATTAAGTTCACAAGTTGGCTAGGTTCACAGTGCTCATACACGAACTGAAACCCTCGGCTCGAAAACTGCACCAAAGCTTTAATTAGTTACCTCTGGCAAAAAGATGTGAATGCAAAACTTGGCACAATGTCCCTTTACATTGTCTTCAAGACGAAACAAACACAGCTTAGAGGTTATCTATCTCCCTCTGGCTCGACTTTGGCTTGTGTGGCTCTGACCTTTGAAGGGCAACTCTTCTCCGTCGTTCTCTTCTCGTCGTCGGTCCATCACGATCTGTTCGTCCGCCAGTTGATAGCGGGAACTCCGAAGAATTGAGCGAAGGAGGTCAATCGGCTCTGCCCGATCTTTGGTCAAAGCGTCTGCAGCCATGTATGTGGTGGGACACCATCTGGGCTCTAGCTTGGTTCTCTGTATTGACTGACGGATGATTGCAATGTCTATTGCAGTTCTCTTATCGTCTAGGACGCCTCCACTGCCTAGGGAAGTGAGGTGATCGTATAAGGACCTGCAATCTGTCAAACCAATCGGGGACCTACGAAGGAGGACTTCTTCGGCATCTTCTAGTAGGAACTGTCCATCCAAGCATTCTGCAAGCATGAGCATCATCCACTCACACACACCTGACGCCGTGGAGAAAGCTTGTGCCTCTCCCGACATGGTCGAAGCAACTACCCTCGGCAACCTGTATGACTTCCAAGCGAAACAATGGACTGGCACATCAGATCCTGATCTCATCTTGTCCGATGTGAATGCAACCAGCCATCCTCCCTGTGTTCGCAGCTCGGAGCTATTGGCAAAAGCGGCATCAGACCAAAAACACAAGGTTAACTCATTGAGTGGGATAAAGGGTACCTGAATTCTCAAATCAGATTGCTGCCGCGCCCTTCGAACTGCTCGGTTCGCTTGCAACAGGTCCTGAACAGTCGGATTCGGAAAGCACTGTTGGCTAATCGACGTTTGCACTGCCAGGTCAGGTCTGGATTGAGTACTTAGCCAGCTGAGCGCTCCGTTGACTGCTCTCAAAGCCGAGATTTCTTGAGGATTTGCTGGAAGCCAAGGTTTCTTAATCCTATCTTTCGAGACCTTGATTGGGGTGATATGCTCGGCATACTCCTTCTGTTGAAAGCTGATCTCCAAAGTATCCATGTCTTGAGTATATATTGTCCCCAAGAACTCCCCAGTGCCCGACCTCCACTTACGGAACGGAAAACGTGAACGTAAATGCTCGATGGCTTTGCTGTACATGTCTCCTGAACCTCCTGTGATTGTGTCATCTACATGTGCCCCCAAAATCCCCTCTAGCTGATTCCTTTCGTTATAGCACAGATAGAGGCAATTATTGAACTTGCTACGAATGAAACCTGCTGCCAAGGCCACACGGTTGAACTCACAGTACCACTCATGTGGAGCGTCATTTGCACCATATATGTTTCCCAACACCTGAACCAAGGAACCAGCTTCAACCCCAGGCACTCCACCTGGTGGCAACTCTGCAAAAACTGGATTCAGCAAGGCCTTCTGGCGAACATCTGCTTCCAGGAATGCGCCTTTTATGTCTCCTAGAAACATCTTCCACTGGTTACTCACTAGCATCTGAAGGATCAGACTCCTCCCAAACTGTGAAAGTGTTGGGGAGTGGCACTTCCCTGCGAGAACCTTGGTGAACAGGTCTGGGTCGTGATGACCCCTCAGGCACCAGCGACTCTTGATCTTCGAATTGCCATCCTCATGCTTTTCAACAATCACAAAACGACTGGTCATGATTCGGTCAGGTCGGCTGGCGCGAATCCTCTTCGCTTCCCGCGGAGGAATGACAACAAGAGCTTTCTTCTCGTCACGCAAAGTGGTCCATTCGATTGTCTCGGAGGCATCAATTTTCTCTTGCAAATGGGCTGGGTGATTTGAGTGATGTAATTCCTTCTGCAACTTTTTCTGCAAGAAGCTTGCTATCAGCACCTCCACGCTTGCTGCCGGACCATTCTGAGTGACCAGTTCAGTCAAAAGACAGGAATTCTCTTCTTCTGTCCTCTGGCTCTTGTTCGATGCCGATGCGCCGCCGTCCGGAGAGTGACTGCGTTTTGATGTCTTGAAGGTCTTCTACCTGAGTTTCAACCGGCCTAATCAAAAAGGTTGGTGGGTTCTTGACATGCTGTCGGACTCGAACAGGACCATATCCTGAACTTTGCCAATATGGCTCGGCAACCGGTCGACTGTATGGTTCTCCTACGTCATGTCTTGATGATTCTGCTGGCTTTGATGGTTCCGATGTCTCACTCTCACAAACTTGTTCTGGCTTCTCATCGACAGGATCGACTCTCGGCACGCCAGTCTCAGCAGGAACCTGAACTGGGATGGCTCTTCTGGGTCTCAAACGAAATTGGCTCTCACCTTTCCATGGTTCACTACCCCAAACAGCTTCTTTGGATTGCTGATCTGACAAGGGCTGATGTACAATGTCTTTCTCCAGTTGTCGAACCACATCCCTTCTATTGCGGGGTCATCAGCAGCGGGCCAAAACAAATTGGTTCGAGGTTGACGGTGGATTCTACACATGTAATCCCCTTTCTTCAACCAGAAATCTTCTGCCTCAGACACTGGAGTACGAGCTTGTTCAGGAGTGGGCGTGTCAGTCAGGTCGGTGAACTGAGACCCAATTGCCTTCCGATCAGGATCATTGAGCAATGACGACAAACCGAGCATTTCTCGACCGTCGGCCTGAGCTAGAATACGTTCGTCTTCACTAGCATGTCTCAAATGTTCCGGGGCAACCTTGAAGATATTTTTCCGGTGAAAGATCAGAAAATTGCGACCTATTTTGCCCATCACAATGGCAACCCCGTACCAACGACCTCCTACCAACCAGACTCCCTTCTGGTACTTCTGTGTCCTCCAGTAAGCAACAAAATCGCCGGGAAGGAAATCTCGTTCAGCCCTAGGTCGAGCGTTCAATGCATTTCTGAGACATGCATCGTCTTGAGACAGCACCAATGCAGTACGAGCTTGTGCACGAATTGCTCTGGCTCGCTCAGCACCTTCATCGTGCAACGGTGTCGTTGCTGCAACTGGGCATGGCCAATCTTGAAGCAAATCTCCTGCTATTCGAGGGTTCCTACCAAACACGAGCTGGCATGGTGACAGACCCTTCTGATTTAGCATTTCGTTCTTTGCATTGCAGGTTTGAATAACACACTGCTCGTACTCTGCTCGATCTTTAGGCTGTACTTGGTCGAGAACTTTTTGCAGGATTACTTCAAGCAGGTGTCCATGCTTCTCTACCTTGCCCAATTGATTATGGGCTTCTGCTGCAATTGTCGAGACTCTAGTGCCATCTTGTTCAAGGCGATCGAACACCTCTCCTGCCGTGTTTGTCTTAGCAGGATCAACCATCACCTCCACCGGTGCTCCAGCCCAACGTTGCCAAGTGTCAAGAAACAACTTCTTCAACAATTCTGAGGTCTCCTGTTCAAGCAACGGAACAGTTACTTGAAAGCTGGTGGCATAATCAACAATGTTCATGCATTTGACCTGCTGGTTCACTTTCCAGCCTGGCAACAGTTTGGTGTCCCAGCCTATCTTGTGATTGAAATCACTGACATGTTCTGGACTTGCTGGAAGACATGGTGTCGGTCGCTGTCTTTGTTGGCAAATCTCGCACTGACTTTCCATGGTTTCCGCTGCCTTGATCGCAAGTTCGTTCGCCCCTGCATTCTTCAAGATTCTAAGCAGTGAACGAGTGGAGGGATGACCTAGGTTATTGTGCAACTTCTTTACCAATTGCTCAACTTGTTTGGCATCGGAAACCGCACAAACCTCATGAACGGTGGATTTGATCCCTTCACAGTCACTTGCTGGGTCCTGCACACATGAAAAATGGCACAAGTGAGGGCGAATGCATTGCAACCAGGTTTGAACAAACATGGGAGTATACTCTGCAGCCCTAGCACTACGGTTAACACCATCTGAAGTATGTCCCGCTAGCAACTGATGACTGACGTGTCCTGGGCACTCTAAGGCGAACTGAGCCATGTCGCCGTGTGACACCGCCAGACCAGTAGGCTTCAAAATTGGTTGTCCATTCTCTGCATCCTGGAGCTGATATGCACACAAATTCGTCTTGTGCAATGTCAACTGTCCGCTGTTGAGCAGCTTCTGGATTGGAGGATACTTCCACAAATCACTTGACCATGGATGTTCCAACAAAACACGACCACCTCGCTTCAGCTGTTTGCGAATCTGTTGGGCACAGAAGTCGGCTTGCGCCCTTGCTTGTCTCTGATTCTGCAGCTGTTGTATGACAGGCAGTTTGTGTTTGTTGAGTCGGTACCAACCTCCCCAATGCTTGCACTCTGGGCTGCATACCAGGAGTTCCGGCCTCGTCTCATCCAGTTGTAGGTCAACAGTCTTCTGTGTTTTACCGTCTGTGAGATCCCAGCCCTGCTTGATATCAAAGGCCAGGCCATGCTCTCCCCTCTTTTCCAACATTGCCGTGAAACGCGGAGGTGAAAACAACTCGGCCACAGCAACGGTGCTTTGCTCTTTGTTCCAAGCCTCTTGATGTGCCAGAAGACAGCGTTCTTCCCGCTTTGTGAGCAGCCGTTCATGTCCTTCCAGGCACTCAGATGCCTGGTCCTCTTGTTCTGGGTCTTCGGAAGGCTGTTCCTCACAGAGTAGGGCTTCTGCGCCATCCATGACATTGAGGATGTACTGGCCAGCGGAAGTCTTCTGCAAAGGTTGTGCTGCAGAGCCATCAATTGAGATTGTCTCCGCCTGAAAGTCCAGCACTGCACGCAAACTCTTCATTGTGTTGCGACTCAGGAGCAATGGGGCTTCACCCTTGATGATACAACAGTCAATGCGACCGGCTCGTCCATGAATTGAAACAGGCATCGAAACAATGCGCTCTGAAAGCTCCTCCTGCCCATTCCCGAACCGGAACAAATTCTGTTGTGCCCTGGTGGTGGGTGCTTGGCGATTCTGCTCATGATACAGCCGCAGGAACTGGTTCAACGTTTCCTGACCAATCAATGTACGACTGCATCCGGAGTCAATGATGCCATAGCCTGGAGATGAGACCAGAAAGGCCTCTTCGGCCACTGCAGCACCGTTCACCTTCTCACGCTCCGACCTGTAGCTGCTGGCTGTTCGTTGCGGGCAATTCCTTGCCCAGTGACCGACTTGGCCACAAGCTCTGCACCGTGACTTCTTTTGAAGGTCCGTGATCTCCTTGGAAAACTGCTTCTTTGCGGAGTTGGCTTGACCGAAACGTCTTGACTTCTGCAGCTTTGCGATTTCTGACCTTCTCTCACGCCACGTAGCTGCCAACACCTCTGCAATCTCCTCCTCATCGAAGATGTCCTGAGTGGCATTGGGCTCTTGTACGCCGTGTTCGGCTAGGAAAGCTTCAATGTCGTCGAAGGACACTGCATCCTGTCCCTCATCGGTCGACAACTGGCTTGTCTCTGCTTCCAACTCTTCAACCTCTGGCTGCTGCACCAACAATGCCGAGGACGTTCGAGCTTTGCGACTTGCTTTGAACTCAGGAAAGCAGCTCCTCATGGCTGCCGCCACCGTCTCGAACTTCATCTCGCCATTTGTCTTGGCAGTCACGATAGCCCTTTGGTCTGAGGATAGACCTGAGGAGTTCAGGCAGATCCATCCTCTGGCCTCCGTTGGAAAGTCTACGGAGACCTTGCGTTTGCACTTTGCAAAAGTCTCCTGAACCCTAGACGTCCAAGCAGCAACGGTTTCACCGTCTCGTGCAGACAACTCGAACACCTCTTTCAGGCACTCTGCCATCCAATCGTGGGATAGGCGATCCGGAAATCGCTCTTCCAACGCAGCCCAGATGTGTCGATCGCCGTTCTCTTCCTTCAGCTTCTCGAGCGTCAGGTGTTCCACTGCCTCTAGGGCAATGCCGTCCAGCAAACAAAACACAAAGGGGCCTCTGTGACTTTCAGACATGTCCTTGGTCGAGGCCATACGAGCTTCTGCCCAGAGTCGCCATCGTCTGAATTCACGAGGATCCAGACTGTCGCCGCTAAACCGTTTGTGGTTTCCACCCTGGTTTTCACTAGCCATGGCGTTGTGACACTGCTTTCGTGATCCAGCCCGTCCTCGGACTGCACACACAAAAGAAAGGAAATCTACCCGGACGCCCCCCGTCAGCGGGGGGCTCCGCTACCAATGTTCAAACTAGACCAGCTAGGTCTCTACAAGGGCCACCCCGACCCCAAACCATGCGGCCGCCTCCTTTTCCGGCCAACCTGAGCCTCGTGAGGGTGCCTGCGTACGTCCAACCTGTACTGCCGATCCGAATGGTGACATTGCTTTCAAATATATATATATATATACATTTGTTCTCAAGGGCCATGGTTTTTCAGTCAATTTGTTTTGATGCTGATTGCTTGTTACTCCGAAGCCTGCCAACATGTCTTTGTATAGATCCGAGCTGGTTCCAACATGTTCCAACACATATATATTTATATATGAGACGTTGAACTCGCAACAAACACAAAGCCTGTCGCAGAGGGGCCTGCAACAAACAACAAAGATGTGCATTTGGCTTCAGGACGTGCTGTGGGCGTTACGGGGGGGGGTGACGCAGGCTCCCGAATTCCCAAGGAACACGGGAAGATCATTGTTCCAAGATAGACCATTCTAAAGTTGCGTTCTGAGAACAATGCAGCCAAGGATATGGCCACCTATGGCGAAGCCATCCTGACCCTTGAGCAGGACCTTTTGTTTTGCTTCAGCGGCGCGTGGTCCCACAGTACCAATACCCACATGTCTCAAAATTGGAGGTGTTTCTGCTCCTGCCTTCAACATCATGTGACATACCATTCCTCCAGCGATTTTTGGATCCATTCGACATCCAACTTCAAAAGGGTCGAAACATTGATGACAATGCCGTGCTTGCTTAGGCTTGGCCTTTGGCAAGTTATCTCGATCAGATCGTGGAATTCTTCAGGATCAGCAGTGGGGCCAAGCGATCAACCTCTTGGAGGAGGCACCACGGAGAGTGCGGCGCAGCCTGTTTTTCGCTGGCGAGTTCTGCAGCTTTGAGAAGCAGATTCTTGAGCCACATTGTCACACATAAGCTCCAACTGAAGGAGGGGATTCACGAATCAGAATGAATCAGAGACATTGCAGGTGGCGAAGACAAATGGATGGAATCGCAATCCAGTTTGACATTGTAGTTCTTAAAGGACCTGCTTGAAGATATTTTTCCGAATCCTGGAAGTCCACCAAGGTGGGTCAGAGTCAATCGCAAAAACTGTGTGGTTTGTTTACTTCACACGAGCAACACAGTTCACACAGGTAATTAGTGCGCATGGCAGCACTGCTAGATGAGGCGCGTGCTGCGAGGTTGCAGCCAGATGAGGATGCTTATCTTGCCACCATCCAGGACGTGCCCTCAGTCATTGCAATGAAAGTAACAGGACAGCATGGCCAAGGCAAGCAACAAGAGATATGGCTCAGGGAAATGGGAATCCTGACTTTTTCCTCTCCATTGCTGTTGTGCACGTCGCACACCTTCGTGCACAGCCTCGGAATGGCGAAAGGCCTTCAGAAGCTCAATGTCGGCAGCAGTGTTCTGGTCTTTGCCGATGGGGAACATCCAGTACTGATGTCCTTCTTGTTATCAAGTATGCTTAAGTGTCCATGCCTCGCACGGACCCTTCGGATGCCAGTCAGAGTGAATGTCCAAATGTCCGAGCCTTTGGGAGATGATTTTAAAGGCTCCATTTGTCTTGCAGCCCCGTTTGAGGTGAAACCTTGAGCTCTCCGTTGCTTGTGTGTGTTCCATTCCGCTTTTGGGTGACCTACCCAAGTCATCCGCTGTGTGACATCCGCTTTTGGATGGACCATGTCTCTATATTTGCTTTTTCTGAAACTCCCAGGCAGCCGTCTCTTTGTGACACATCATTCTCTTTCTGGACACCGACCGAGGTGGTGGAAAGAGCCCATCAGGACGACCGGAGCCCCAGTGATCGGTGACGCAATCCCTGTCGCAGTGGCGGTTGGTGGTTCAACCAGTGAAGCACTTGGTAAAACCGGTCGCCCAGAGATGATGTTGATCTCGATACCGTTGCTACATGTGGGGGTCCATTTCGCTACGCGTGAAGAGATGGAAAGAATCCCGGGAAACAAACAAACAAGAATCAGGGGTTCACAGCAAAGCCTTCTTCATTTTCTTTTTCTAGATGGTGGCCCCGGGGGTCAGCAGCAAAGCGAGGGGATCTCGTTTAAGGCGACAAAGCTCAGCACACACTGGAGGCATAGGCACTTGGAGTTGTACACAGAGTAGAAACGTGTATTTGAGTCTGATTTGGTTCAGTGACTTGGACTTAATTATCGATACGTGACACATACATGAACGCGTTGCCGCGTGCATGCATACATAATTGCAATATATTGCAATTAGATGCAATTAGTATATAATTACATGAAATATGAACTTACATTACAATCATTACACCCAAGAGTCGCCTAAGAGGACTTTTTTGCTGACGGGCGTCACACTCCAGCTGCCACGGCCTGGCATCCATTTGCGCCTGCCGAGGGCGTGGCGCAACGCCTCGAGGAGGAACTCATGGTCCACCGTTTGAAGGAGAGTGGAGCACGGTGGAGCTGCTCAAGGTACTAGTACTAGTAGCTTCTAGCTATTAGTAGTAGTGCCCTTGTTACTAGTAGCTAGCTTCTGCAATTATGCAGATGGGTTTCCTTGTTGATGTTTTCCACATTGTCCACCGTACCCAGCTCCATCATCTCCCAATATCTAGTTTCATAAAGTTCAGTGCAACATCATGCATCCCACCAAGTCATAGCCACTTGACTTCCTTCAAGCTCGCCAAATCTCCAGCGCTGGGCCATTTGCACTTCCAGGCCGAGGACACGGAAGGCCGAACTGCAGGCATGTCCAGCAGGCGAACGGGAGGCGAAGACCTGTGGCGCGTTGGGAAGGATTATTGACATTCAGTGCATTCACCGAAGTTGCACAGGGGAACTTCCCCAACCAAGACAGAGGTAATTGAGAAGTAGCCATTGGGTCCTCCAAACATGAAAATATAAGAGCTCCAACCCTCAAGTGCCGTCCATATGATGTTTTGCTTAAAAATAGGACGCCTGTGATTCGATTCTTGAGCCAGGAGTCTAAACACTACCAACATGACTTGGGATCAGCAGGTGGCGCTGGGAAGTGATGTTGGAGCTTTTCAGGGTCTCCTAAGGCGCAGTGTTGCAGATGAAGGACCCAACTGTTTGAGTTAAGGTCCCTGCTGTTTCTGAGATCACCAGCTGTTTTACCTGCCACTTGGGTGACTATATGATTCTAGCAACATCTAGTGCGGTTCTCTATGCTATTGCTTTAGGTGCAACATACTTGGTGTTTGCGCCACAATCGACTGCTTGGCTCCCTGCAAGCCAAGGCTGCTTCGCCAGATCAGCGGGGCATTCTTCGATGAGCGGTGGTAGTTCTCAATCACACCTCGGCCTTTGTCAAAGAAACACAGAAATACACAGAAAGGTTTCACCCCTGACACGATTTGATTGCACCGCCCTCAGTCTTTGGCAACCCCGGCTTTGCCCCACGAAGATTGGACCGAAAACGTGATGCAAGACAGTTGCAAGACTAGGTTCCTCTTTTCAAACATGAGGCCTGAACCAACCGCTTCTGGTTGGGAGGTTTCATTGACAGGGGCCCTCCGGGCTTCGCCCTCCTCTCTCGAGCGGAGAGGCCTTTTGGGGCCTCGGAGCGGCGTTAACGAACACAGACGGGCCAAAGTCGTGGAGGTGTTGATGGCTTCGCAGCGAATGGGCTGAAGAGCTTTTAGACAAGACACTGGAAACAAGGTTCGCTACTAGTAACAAGTGCCACGCTAGTAGTAACAGGTGCCTTACTAGTAGTAACAAGAAGCTATTAATTTGACTCCTTGGGTTTTGCAGGAGTGGTTGCTAGGGAAATTATTACCTGCGAATGACCGAAGCTTGTGCCTGTCTGAGTACTTCTTCAGGGCTTTGGCGGCAGGTCGTGTCAAAAAAGTTAGTATTTGCGCAACCGGGCGCAGCGACATTTCTGGCGCAGTGGCGCAAAAAATTGGCCCGGCAAACGCGGCAGATACACCCAGCTACGCATGCAAGTGAAGAGTCGGACTTCTCCGGAGCGGTCGACTTTGTACGGACATCCGATGGCATATCATCCGAAAGCCGGAATGCCCAGTTGGAGCTCACATGGTGGAACGGTCGGAACGGGTCCTTCAAAACCAATTTGGTTGTTGGAATTCTACATTGGTTTCAGTTTCGTGCTCGCAAAGTCCATGAGATGAAAGATGATAAAGGTGGACCTATATAAGTTCCAGGAGGTGATTCAGTTCAGCCCAGAATGCGAGTTCAAAGTTTCTCCACTGCGTCGTCCAGCAATTCGACAGTGCTTCACTCAAGATATGTTCTGCCAAACTGCACGAAAGGGAACTATGTATATAAAGAAGATCATGAGGAAAACGGACAAGGAAAGCACGCGAGAGCAAGCATTGGTTGTTTGATCCACTGAACGATTGATATATACCCAATTGCCATGATGAGCACAATATTCATGTGGTGACCATGCTTATCTCGAGCCTGTGGCTTAAGTACGAGAGGAGATGCGCTACGTCTCATGTCATGCTTCTTTCCTGCAATTTCTCTCGTATGGACACCTTTGGAAGGCAAACTCATTTGGAAACCGATGTGATTCATTCACATGTTTCCCACATCTTTGCGCGCGGGCCTGGGTTCTTACTTTTAGTTTGGCATCCCGCCCGCTTTCGCACCAACTGAGCTCGCACCAACTCAACTCAAACCAAATGCACTCTCACTCGCACGCATTCACCGTCACTCTCACTCACTTACTGACTCACGCGCTCGCTCGCTCTCGCTCTCGCTCTCGCTCTCGCTCTCACTCACTCACTCACTCACTCACGCCCGCACAGATGCCCGCCCACACGCCCGCGCACGCCCACACGCCCGCGCATGCACACTCACGCTCGCTCTCGCTCTCACCCTCACCCTCACTCTCACTCGCACTTGAACTCTCACTCTCACTCTCCCTCCCTCCCTCCCTCCCTCCCTCCCTCCCTCTCTCCTTCACGCACTCTCTCACTCTCCCTCTCTCTCTCTCTCACTCACTCTCTCTCACTCACTCACACTCTCTCACTCTCCCACTCTCACTGTCACGCACTCACTCACCCATGCACAAACGATTGCATCCCACTTTTTTGTGCTTAAAACCAGACAATTCCCGGTCCTTCAATTTTTTAATATCAACTCCCCACTTGGACTGAGCTGAATGAGAGGAGACGAGAAACCTGCAGTAGATTCAGTAGATTCGATGCCACCGCATATGAAGGTTAACCACGCCTCCAGCACTCAAAGCAAGCAGGGGGATCATCTTCCAAACAAACCCCTCCAGGAACAAATAGCATACTGGGGAGCTGTTTCGTTTGTTTTGGTCCAATGCCGAATCTTGTTGGCAACTCCCCTCCAACAACCATGGAAGTGGAACTTGTTAATGCTGGTTGAAGCAAAGAGCACATGTTTCAGTTCAAAGATGTCTGAGGATTTTTCCTGGAACACCCATGGTATCCACGGCCCTCACGGCCCTAAGCCGGCTTCGCTGCAGGCTTTGAGTCCTGCAGCGGCCTGCTCAACTTCTTCCGCACAGACGTCTCCCCACCTGCCTGGGAGGTGATCCTGCGTCGGAAGGAGGGCCCGGCGGTGGGGAGGGAGGTGGTCACCCCGGTCACCCCAAAAAAGTCGCACCCCTTGAAAGAAACAAAGCAGAATGCTGTGGCACAAAGAAATGACTTGCTCCTCGCACTACTCTTGTTCAATTCCCGACTTGAAACAGAGCTTCACAAGCATCCTGCACCCTGTCGGGTTCATCCGCGACTTTGACAGGATTCCCGTGCGAGATCGTGCGAGTTTATATGATATATAATCTATTAAAATATACATGACATATATATATATTGTGAATTTCGAACCTTTCGGTCACTGAGGAACCAGTCTTGACCTACTCAGGTGTGTTCACGTCCGAAGCCACGAGTGTGCGAGGCCGCAAGGGTGGTGTAGGGTGGGTCACCCGTGACCTGAGCCATAGGCAGTGAGGACACTGCAGGGCGAGGCGCCCAACCGTTCGTACCAACCTTCAGGTGAGCTGTGAGTGGAAAACGCACGCGGCTGTGCGAGGGAAGGAGGATCTTTTGTTGCTACCTTTGTGTCAACCACATTGGTAGCGGAGCTACCGCTAAAGCTCCAGACAACACCTACTACAACACCTGACCCTTGTGCGTGGTTGTCGTTGACTGCGTGGTTGAGTCGGTCGAGTTGACATTGGTTGACTGCAAAGCGTGAGCATTGCACTGTTGGGAACCACTGCACCCCAACAAGTCGGTTGACCGTTGGTTGCTGCTTGAGACGGTGAACAATTGGACCCTGGCTGAACACTGGTGAACATTGTACATTGTGCAGTGCATTGTACGTTGACAGGTCGGACATTGGTCGGTTGATTCATTGGTTGGCCGCAAGGCAGTCGACAGGTTGCACATTGTTTTGGTGGTGTTGTCACAGAGTTGTTGAGCTGCGGTTTCCAGGGAGGAAACAGCCCAATGCCACCGGAAGGTGATCCAGCTGGCTCCAGTTCCTCCTCAGCAGGTTTGAGCAATCTCCCATGGAACCAGGTTCCATCTTTCAAGCCTGGTGAGACGGACCTCACTGAATGGTCACGGAAAGTAGAGTTCCTGGCGTCACTATGGCCTCCAGAACAACTACACCTGCTTGCCCCACGAGTTGAGAGTTGCTAGGCTGGACCCAAAGAAGCTGCGTGTTGGAAGCTTGGAGGGGGTGAAGGCCATTGTGGAGGCCCTTGGAGGGGTTTGGGGAAAATCCCGATTGGAGGACAAGTTCGAAAGATTTGAGCGTGCAATATACAGCACGGTTCAAAGAGCCGACGAGACCCATGAGAGCTATTTAGCTCGGCACGACCATCAATTCGAAGAGCTGCTGAGCATGAAGGTCGGCATGGATGAGTTTCGTGCATATATCTTGCTTCGCAACTCAGCCCTGAGCTCAGAAGACAAGAAGAGACTGATTGTTGAATCGCAGGGTTCACTGGAGTACAGAGAGGTGGTATCCAACCTGAAGCTCCTGGGGAGTCGATTCTTCCATGAGGTCCACTCCAGCGGAAAGCAGAACAATCCAAGGACCAAAACCTATGAGGCCAATGCGTTCATGGCTCAAGAAGCTGATGGTCAAGACCAAGCATCCGAAGAGCCCACCTACAATCTTGATGATTGGACCGAGGAAGAATGGATTGAGAGTCTTGCAAATGACGAGGACGCCACCATGATCATGGAGTATGAATCCACAATGTTGGATGCAGTGCAAGACAACGAAGATCTAGCATTGACACAGTCATCATACATGGATGCCCGTCGCCGCCTGTCAGAGCGTTTCAAAAGCCGTGGGTTCTGGCCAACAAGTCAGAACAAAGGAAAAGGGAAAGGGGGTGAAACAGGAAAGCGATCCCCGTATTCTTCAAAGTTTTCCGGCAATAGAAAGAGCCTCCAGCAGAGGATCATGGAGAGCAGCTGCAGGATTTGTGGCCGAAAAGGCCATTGGAAGGCTGCATGCCCACAACGTGGATCTCAGTCGGCCCCATCAACAGCTGTTGCTCCGACACTGGTGACAGTGAACGATGAGCTGGACGCCCTGCCACTGGAGTTCATGGATTTGCCAGAGCTGACCGAAGGGACGCTCAACGCCACTCAAGAGAATTCGAAACATTTTTTTTGTGTTTGTGAATCGAGGGACACCGGTGTTTTGGGGGGTTTGTGGAAGACCAATGAAGGGGATGCCATTGTCTTAACCCACAAAGGGGGGATGATCACCGAGTGCGAGAATTTTGATGTCAGGACTAGCTTGCCAGAGAGTGCATTTGCTAGCACCGCCCAATCACCTGAAGCCAAGTCGATGCATGACACCGAAGCCAGTGCATTCTCGAGCTTTTCAACTCGAGATGCTCTGGGAATCGTAGATACAGGTGCTACTAAGACCGTCATAGGAAGCAGTTTCGTAGCAAATCTCCTAGCCGCACTGAGGCCAGAGGTTCGGAAGCAGGTCCAAAGGTGTCGATGTTGGAATCAAGGGACACTTGAAAGCCAGCACGCACTCGTTGTCCCAATTGGACCGCTGAAGCTCAAGATTGCGATAGTGCCCGGCCGGACACCATTCCTGCTGTCGAATACTCTGCTCCGAGCCATCGGAGCCACCGTAGACGTGTCTGGTGAAGTGATCAAAAGCACTCTCCTGAAGCGCAACATTCCTATTCAGCTGAACGCCAAGGGTTTGTTTTTAGTTGATTTGAATGACCTGATCACACCCACCAGTCAAGATGCCGAAGCTGAACCTGCCGAGACCTTCGCCACTTTGAATTGCAA